GGGATTTATGGCTGATCTTGAGCTTCTGGTGCCCCGTGTGTCAGAAAGATGTGCACTGGAACTTGAGCATGTGGAGGGACGTTATGTTCGGCTATGAGGCCGGATTCTAACTACGGCAGCTGGATCGCTGGGTCAAAGTATGGAGAAGATGTGGAAAACGCTATGCTGATTGCTGCACTGATAGGGTAACAGCTTTTGGTGGAGGCAGCGTGGTGATGATGTGGAGCACCATCTCCCTCACTGGAAAAACAAGGCTTATCATCACTGGAGACAATCTCAATGTGGAGAGATATCGAGAGGAGATTCTACAACCAGTGTCAGTCCCATATCACCACAGACTGGGACCGGACTCTGTCCTCCAGGATGACAACGCTCAGAGTGAGGTTTTGCAGAGACTACCTCCAGAATTTTGGAGTAGAGAGTAGGGAATGGCCTGCCTGCAGTCCTGACCTCAACCTTATCGAACTCTTGTGGGGTCAGCTTTGGTGTGCTGTTCGTGCCAGACTGACCAACACAACCACATTAGCTGACTTGTGACAAATGCTGGTTGAAGAATGTGACGCCATCCCACAGTATTGGGTGACCAAGCTTGTGACCAGAATGGGGAAGAAATGTCATGGTTCTCTACATCTGCTGAGGCCCCCGTTTGTTAATGAATCAGTTCTTAATTTGCCAGTGACTTGTTTCTACAGACTTCAGTCAATCCAATAAACGCCAAACAATATTTGGTAACAGAATAAGCTCTTTGGCAAAAAGATTTTTTTTTGTCAAGTTTCACCTCAATCCAAAAATGCATTTTCCTTATAAATGTGGGACTATTTCAGGAGAAATAAACAGGCTTTCCAATAGTATGAGATTTATTGCAAAGTAGCACTGTTAGCACAAATCAAACACAAATTTCCTCACTTTTGTGCTGTTTGGATATTAATGATCGATGCATGTGTAACAATTTTCAAGCAAAGTTTCGTTCAGATTGGCCCAAGTTTTAAGGAGGAGGTAGGGTACAAACATACTCTGCAATCATTACAATAAGAAGAAGACTGCATTTTCTGAGACAGCACTGATTTGCAGAATACATGTCACCTTACTCAAAGACTTAACTTTTTAAAATGGTAAATGGACTGGTATTTGGAGCAGTCACAAGGATTCTACACTACAAGGTGGGGAGAAGTTTGGAGTTCTCTGCCCTTTCCAAGAACTATTCAGTGTGTGGACTGCAGGAGCTGGGGAATGGAACATCAAGCCAGTGTTTTTCATCTGTGGCAGCCTAACACAATAACAACATATTTACCGTCTACATTTTTAAATAGCTATTTTATTGAGGGCACTCAGCACATGCACTGCCTGAATAGCTCCTTTTCATGCTGAATCATTATGAAGGCTAGAATATGGAGAACCTGGCACAACTGTACAGGCTGACTATGCAGATAAAGTTAGAGCAGGGTGCCAAAACCCCTTGAAATTAAAATGTGTTTGTGCCTACTAACTTTCTTGGACTATGTCAAACTTGTAGTTTAGACTAACAACTTGGCCAATTAAAAAGGGATTAATTAAGTAATTTAGAAGCAAATAAGCCTGAAATTTTATATTAAGAATCTGAAATTTCAGAATTTGACATTTTCCCTTTTCTCCATATTTGTGATGTCTCTCAATGCTCTTCTGACATCTTTTTCACTGCCCCTCTGGTTCTGCCACAGATCTCTTCCTCCTCTTAAGTGCTTGCTCAAAGAGAAGAATCAGATGAGATCATTAGAGTTCTCGCTCTAAAATCAAAGCATCTTTAGCTTACTATGTAAAGCGCCCTTCGCTTCGAAGTTTTGCATGTTTTGCATTGACGCCATTAAAAGCAAAAACAAAACAAGCTGAACGGAATTTAAATGAAAACCCTTCAAGTCGTTTTCCCCTTTCATCAGTATTCCTCTTGAATGAAACGGCAGTTGGCCACGCGCATCTGCCCGAACTACAGCAGTTCCACCACAGAGAGAGGTGATGCTAGCCTGCGGGCTCCAGCTGTCTGCCTAAAACACCAGAGTCACTGCCTTCTTCGCTTCTTGCTCTCCTAACATGAGATAATTGGTCTCAGGGTTGAGTGATTTATTTGGATAAGCTCCCCTTACTTTGACTAAAATATCAAACTGTGGCACTTTTCATCTTAAACTAGCAAAGATTCTCTGATGTTGTTTCGAAGGAGGGCCATGACAACATAGACTACAAATATACTCTGTATAAATACAGAGCTGCTATTGCATAGAAATGTCTGAGAAGACAGCTGTGGGATCTTCCTGTGTTTTTAAAAAAAAAAAAAAAAATTGGTATATATAGCTCTATGGGAATACCAGACATCAGTTGGAAAACAATACTCCCAGTGGTCCAATACTAAGCACAGCAATTTGCTTTGTTAATTCATGTTTGTTTTGAGATGTTTTGCACAGGAACTTTCCATCACTCCCACAGGGGCCTTACTGACATAACCTGGAGCCTGAACACTAGCTTAGAACTCTACAATGAAGATGTATGACCCAAGCAACTTGCTTGCATTTGCCATCTATAATTTGACTCTAAAGCAGGGATGGTCAATTATTCATTTTCCCCAAGGGGCTATATTTAGGACAAAACTATAACATTTACTCTTACAAAGACATAAAATTAATATTGAGCAGGACTGAGTTCAGCTCACTGTTGCAGCCCTCCACAACTGTCCCAGTTTTTCATTTCATTTCTTTAGAAAATTAATTGCCCATCCTTGGCCCAGAGGGATAACGTTTAAGCAACACTTTCAAGGCTGTGACGTTACTTTCAATGACAACATATGCTGTCAAGAATATCATAGAGCAACGCTGCCAACACCCCACCTAGGGCAAAACTAACAAAACGAGTGCACTGCTGCGCAGGAGGTGAAGGTAATGTGACTCAACCTGTTTGCCAGAGCAGGCACAGACAGGAAGGGGGAAGTGAGAAACGGGAGGAAGTTTGTGAATCTCTGAGCACGGAAGTTGACAAACCTCAGTGTATCACCTGTAAAACACAGATGTAGCAAGTGGATGCAGTGCACGTGCAGAAATGGGGTCGAAAATGTTGGCTGAGAAGGAAAAAATTCTGAATGTTTGCACAACTGATTGCATGATACTCACGGGGGTGGGGTGGGGGGGGGGGGGGGGCTGGCTGGTGCAAGTACAGCATGTTCATAAAGGCAAAGGAATGCCAGCCGGGACATGTGAGCAAACCTTCCTGGTATTTCTTTCTCCTGGCCTAGACAAATGCATTCCTGTGGCCTTCGCAACTCAGGTACTTCCACAGAAAATAGAGTTGGCTCCAGAAACTTTGCGAAGGTTAACCTGGAGCCGCTGGTAAAAGCTATGTCTGTGTAGTCAGCGATACTAAAAATATCCACGTTTCAATCTGTACCAGAACTGAAACCGGAGTGTAATTGTGTTATGTTACGATAACTATTAATAACTTTTTTCATCATCTGAAGCAAAATAGAAAAAGGTGAAGATTAAATCTACATGGGATTTCTATCAAACAAAGCCAGGGGTTATCTTGCACAATGTTCCCTTGCTAGAGGGTCAGCAGGCTTTAATAAATCACTGTAGTTCAGGCACAGGCGCCCACTCATGTGTAAGTGCTTTATTTAGAGCTTGAGGAAAGCAGCAATAAGTGAGCATGTCATAACAGCTTTGAGCTTCAATGTCCCTTTTTATATATAACTGGCAAAGAGTAAAAATACACACATAGCTGGAAAGCTTATCGTTGGGTCTTGAGCTGCACAAGCTGCTGCTCCTTCCACTAACAGTGTGTGGATAAAAATTCTATGCTTTCGTCATAGTCACAGAGAGGCTTATGGTTTCTGTCACCAGCCTGTTTCATGAAAAGTGAGGAAAGGAGGTGAGCTTGTTGTAGAATAGCCTTTGCTTGGGATGCAGTGATGTAATACTTCAATTTCCTTCTGCTTTACACGGTTGAGTGTGCTGAAAGGCAGCAGCCTAGTCAAAACACCACCATAATTAAAGCCTAACCCATGATAAACACCTACAAAGAATGTCCAATTTAAAGACTTGTCTAGCATTAAAAACAAACAGTTGTAGCAATGCTGACTGCTGCAACTGTGAAAGGTACACTCAACATCTTTACGCATGCATTAAGGTGCTCAGTAAATAACATGTAACCAGAGTGATCCACACTGAAGTTTGGGCGCAAATCCTCATTCGAATTCTCGCCATTTAAAGGCGCCGCACTTCGGTGCGTGTGTTCGTGTCGAGGGAAACGTGACATAACGAGTCGATTTAAACCACGGATAAATTCGGAAAACATCTAAGCCATCTACCGAAAGTGATATTAACGCTGTTTAGACTAAATAGTTCCTTTCTCTGCTAGCCCAGTGGACAACTGCTACCAACAACAAAGTGGGGCTTCCGGTGGCAAGCATTAGGAAGCAAATAATAAACCCTTAAATTTACCACATTAAATTCCAGCTTGTCGAGTTGGGTGCACGCCGAATTAAAGGTACTTAAGTGCTGACTGTGAACAAGGCGTTGCTCTCACACGAAACGCTTTGTCATGTTGCGGTTAAGCGAAGAAGAGTCAAATCGCACGGTATGCTAACTGTGTTCGGAGCGCGAGGAGACAGCCGCGGGGATGGATGGACGGGGGAGTTGTTGTAGTAGTGCTGGTGGTGGGGCGACACCACCGAAGCACATGACAAACGCAGTGTCACAGTGTGATGACAGGGATGCTAACACGGCTCTCACTCAGTCGCTGTCTTCTAAAGTTACTCAGGAACTACATTCCGAGCATATTTTCGCTTCAGCTTTTGTTACGCGCCGTAAAGGCGTCGACGTGTGAAACATGTTTACTATCGCTAAACCACACGAGCTGCAGTCCACATAAAATGCAAATAGTGTCGTATCCCCCGCGTGTATGCCACTGTCTTTACACTTGCTTTCTTTTACGTGTATGTGTTTGTTTCCCTGTGAATCTTACAACCTTGACTGTGCACATACCCTTCTCCGGTTAGACTGTGTCAAATGCATCCACAGCTGTGCCTTGTACTGGATGAAACAAAGTGTCAGTCTTCTTTTAGTAGTGGTCACCGGTGGTCGTCAGCAGCATCGAAGATAACGCCTTCTTCCCCCTTTATGGTTCGCAGTTGCTGTAATCACCAAAGTGTCTCCGTTACGAAAAAAGGAAAGAAAACAAAAAAGGGAAAAAAAGAAAAACGTGTCGGTGCTTCCTGATTTAGGTACAGTGGTAGTGATGATGTTGTTTGTTAAGGGGTGGGGCGGCGTGCAGCTGTAATCCGCCAAGAAATATGGACTAAAAAGCACGCTGGTGCACGTCTGTGCATGATTAGTGACTCGTGGTTCACGGTGGGGAGGGTTAAATAAACGTGATTTTAAAGTGGATCTCACGAGCACAGAAAACAGACGGCTGTAGGATTTGCGCACTCTGAGAGCAAGCTTTACAGCCAGCAGGGTCAACGATTGCACAATACAGACAGGCAGTCAGGTTCATGCCTCGCTCAAACCCTCCAATAGGTTAATTAACAGGGTTTCCCCCCCTCGATCGCTTTGGCGCAATTCTCATATCACAAATGTCGATCTTACCACTGCAAATGCAGTTCTCAAATCAGTAATGCATTGCCTCACCCACGCTAGACATTCTTGTTGTTTTTACACAGCTGTGGTTTCTACACATAATTTACTACTATAGATATTTGTTGCTGTGTTTATGCACTTCTTACTTAAATCTGACAACTCATCAAAAAAGTTTGTACTTTTGTCAGTCACAGCTCTTACTTGCTTTCCTGAATAATTCCCAGCATTGCTGATAGTGTTTTTAATAAAAATTTCAAAGACCAGTGTGGTCTTCTGCTGCTGTAGCCCATCTGCTTCAAGATCAGATGTGTTGTGGTTGTTTCTACCTTGAACCTTTGTAACCAGGGGTTATTTGAGTTACTGTTGCTTTCCCATCAGCTCGAAGTAGTCTGGCCGTTCTCTTCTGACATCAACAAGGTATTTTCACCCAGAGAACTGCTGCTCACTCTCATTTTAGACCATTCTCTTTAAACCCTGGAGATGATTGTGTGGGAAAATCCCAATACATCAACAACATCTGAATTATTCACATCATACAGCAACCGTGCCCAGTTCAGTCGTCTTTCTTAATTAATTGCTCGGTTTGAATTCCAGCAGGCTGTCTTGATCATGTCTACATGCCTAAATGTTTTGAGTTGCTGCTGATGTGAAAGGATGATTCGATATTTGGATTAATGTAATGAGCAGTGGAACAGGCGTACATAATAAAGTGGTTGCTGTATGTATGTAGTGTGACTTTACAGGACTATACAGTAGATGGTACTTTGTTTAAAGATGGTGTACAGTATGTGTTCTTTGTCTGTTTTCTGATGCATTATTATATATATATACATATATACATATATATACATATATATATATACACACATATACATATATACATATATATATATACATATATATACATATATATACATACATATATATATACATATATATACATACATATATATATACATACATATATATATACATACAT